CTTTTTATAAAATCAAAAGCATCTTGTTCATGGATATACAAGTTTCTCTTATTGACATTATCTTAGGACATATCTACCTTTTAAATAAATAATGCGTTATACCCCCCTCACATAGAGGAGTACACCAAAAGCATACAAGTAGAATTATCAATTTTCTTGTTCATGTTTATGATATTGTAAGTACAGTTCATATCAATCTGTCCTGATGAATGTTGGTTTAAGACAAGTTGTAAACGAAGTGTTCCACAAAAGATATTGAACATGTCCAAAAATTTTACGGAAGCCACTTTTGTACATGTTTGCCGCCTTCTATCTCGTGGGAGCGAAAAGTATTTGCTAGTGAAAATCGAACAATGATAAAGGTTTTGGGAAAACCTAATTTGTTTTATCTAATTTTTTTTTTTTTTTGGAAGAAAAACGTGAATTAGATTGTTCAGAAAGTAATCTTTACCAGAATTTCTCTGTCCAAATTTAATTTGACTTTGATTACTTTGCAAGAAAAAGTTCCTAAAGATAGAAAGGAAATCAATGATGTTGATTTTGATACTTTCTTTTACTTTATTCGTTTTCTTTTTACATTTTCCTTCTAAAAAGGGCCAAAAAAAAAGAAAAAAAAAAAAAAATCTTCCGTCAATCTCTTATCTACCACAAAGACTAGCGTGAAAAGGGAGAAATATAATTTACCAAACAAAATTTATGAAGATTACTCATTCTTCGCATATAGCCAAATAGGAAGATATAATGCCATTAGGTGTGTCAAAAAACGTGTTAGCGTCTTCTTAGAAAAAGAGGTGATGCGTCAAGATGTCCAAAATGTATTGAAAAACAATCAAGTTCAAAATAATCGCATTAAGACATATCTACTATGTAGATGATTTTATTTTCTCTCGAACTTCCGATGTATATTTCTCTTTTGAATTTGTGAGTGAGGTTATGTTTCTTGGAGTCAATATTAGAGACTGGAGTTCTTTACACCTCGATTTAATGTAGGAGTATATTAGAAATAATATAAAAAATTTATATTTTCAATTATATTAATTGTATTTTCTTATTTTGTGTAAAAATTAACAAAACTTATGGGACAAACTCACAAATAGTAAAATTTCAATTATATTCATAATTACTAGTCATTTGTTATGTAGGAGAACAGCGACGGAGTTCTCCATATATGCACTGGGCCCCACCAACCAAATATATATCCTTGGGTTAAAATCACCACTTTGTATTTAGTGTCAACATGGCCATCCAATTTAATTTTGCTTCATCATGGCCACTTAACTTTATATTTAGTATCACCATGGCCACCCAATTTCATAAAACGTTTTATCATGATCACTCAACGCTTCAGTATGACCACCAAACTTCGTTTCACTAATTTAAAAAGAGGTAAAACGGTAATTTTGCATTATATATAAAAATAAATTTTGAAAAAAAAAATTATTTTAAAAAATATAATAAAATAAAAAAATTTTAAAAAAAGCTACTTAAATGGATATTGGTTTAAGACAAGTTGTAAACAAATTGTTCCACAAAATATATCAGGCATGTCCAAAAGTTTGATGGAAGCCACTTTTGTACATGTTCGCCGCCTTATATCTCGTGGGAGTGAAAAGTATTTGTTAGTGTGAATCGAACAGTGAAAAAAGTGATGTCAATGAAACAAATTTTATGAAGATTAGTCATTCATATCATATAGTCAAAATAGGAAGATATCAATGCGTAATGTCATTATGTGTCAAAAATATGTGTCAACGACGTCTTCTTACCAAAAAGAGGTGATGCATCAAAGTCTATGCATCAAAGTCTCAAAAATGTATCTAAAAAAAATTAAGTTCGAAACAATCGCATTAAGACATCTACTATGTAGGTGATTCTTTCTTCTCTTGAACTTTTGATGTATATTTCTCTTTTAGATTTGTGAGCGAGGTTATATGTTTTTTGGAATGAGCCTTTGAGACCGGGAGTTGTTGACACTTTGATAATATTGAGATCCTAGTATCCTGATTTGATTAGATAAAGCCACTAACTCTGATTGAGAACTTAAAATATACGCATTATTTTGAGTAAGATTATACAAGATGAAAAATTTAATCAAAATCAAATATTGATTTCAATTATATATTCATAATTACTTATCATTTGTTACACGGTTCTTGTTTAGTGAGGATTTTAATCAAATTTTTATTAAATTTTAATAAAAATTGATGAAATTTATTGTTAAAAAGTTGTGAATGTTATAAAATGTGCAATTTGGCTCCTATTATTTGAAATTTTAATTGTTGGAATAGTGTTTTAATAAAGAAAGTGATTAAAAAAGAAGAAAAAATTTTGAGATTATATTTTATATTATTTTATCAAAGAATGTGTAATTGATAAAAGAGAGAAATAAATTGTAATTTTAATTAGAACCAAACGATAGTTAAAATTAGAGTAAATTTAACCAATAATCACTGAACTTTACACTTGATTACTACTTGCTCACTCATCTTTCACAGATTACTGAATGTTCACTCATCTTTTCATATAATTACTCATTCACCACTCGTCTCTTCAAATAATTGGACGACTTTTACGGCAAATTTTCGACAACTTCCGACCACAAAAAATGTCGAATTTTGATACCGTTGGAAAGCCCACGATATCCTCTTCAATTACCACCCAAAATCTCATTATAACTCCAAGGGATTCGATCGAAAAATTGCCTTAAAAGTTGCCCAAAAATTTTGAAAATTTGCCCAGATTTTCAAATTTTTTGGGCGACTTTTAAAGCAATTTTTCGGCAACTTTCGACCATCAAAACTATCGAATTTTGATATCATTGGAAAGCCCACAATGTCCTCTTCAATTATCATCCAAAATTTTCCCATAACTCCAAAGGATTCGGTCGGAATAAACCCACAAAATCAGCGTCTTGAAAAGGCGAAAATCTGGACAAAGTTCGGGATGCTGACTTTGTGGGTTTATTCCGACCAACTCCTTTGGAGTTATCGGGAAATTTTGGGTGGTAATTGAAGAGGACATTGTGGGCTTTCCAATGGTATCAAAATTAGATAGTTTTGATGGTCGAAAGTTGCCGAAAAATTGCCTTAAAAGTCGCCCAAAAAATCTGAAAATCTGGGCAGATTTTCAGAATTTTTGGGCTACTTTTAAGGTAATTTTTCGATCGAATCCCTTGGAGTTATAATGAGATTTTGGGTGATAATTGAAGAGGACATCGTGAGCTTTCCAAAGGTATCAAAATTCGACATTCTTTGTGGTCGGAAGTTGTCGAAAATTTGCCGTAAAAGTAGCCCAATTATTTGAAGAGACGAGTGATGAATGAGTAATTATATGAAAAGATGAGTGAGCATTCAGTAATATGTAAAAGATGAGTGAGCAAGTAGTAATTAAGTATAAAGTTCAGTGATTATTGGTTAAATTTACTCGTTAAAATTACTTATTGATTTTGATTTAAATTAGAATCCCAAATTTCCACCAAACAGAGCATGGGAAAATAGCGGCGGAGTTCTCGACACACCCACTGGACCCCACCAACCATAAATATAATTCCTCACCGTCGGCCTTTTTACACTGTCAATTCATATTTTGGATCCGTTGAATTTTGCCTTCCCTGTACACTGTCACATTTTACAGTATAGTTAAAGAAGCGCAGAATGAAGGCGGCCATATTGAGCTCCCTTCTCAGGAGGATCTATACAGTTGCTCCGTCATCATCGTATGTATTGCGCCGTGGCTTTTCGTCCGAGTCGGTGCCGGAGCGGAAAGTCGCCATTCTTGGAGCCGCGGGAGGGATCGGCCAGCCGCTTTCTTTGCTCATGAAGCTGAACCCGCTCGTCTCTAAGTTGGCCCTGTACGACATTGCTGGAACACCCGGTGTCGCCGCTGACGTCAGCCACATTAACACCAGATCTGAGGTTCCTTACGCTTCCATCTCTACCTGTTTATATTTATTTTAACTTGTTGCTCTTTTTGGTGCCTTTTGATTTGATTTCATTTTTGAATTCGGTATTTTATGAAGGGTTTTAGGGCATTCTTCATTTTTCTGCTGGTTGGTTCGTGTACCTAATGTCTGTAGATTTATGTGGCTTGATTTATTTTATGGCGTTTTCTTTTGTAGAGCTTTGTAGGGTTTTAAGTTCAACTACTTATTATACTAAAAAATTATGAACAAGGATAGCTTTGATTTGTAATAGAAACTTCGGCCAAGGAAATTATAAAGTTGAACCATTTTTTCTAGGAAAAGATTTCTTTTTTTATTTATTTTTCATATTAAACTGAAAATAGAATTATTGAACTCGTGTTATAAATAAGAGTTCTGGAACATGTAAAGAGAAAGATTGCAAATGTAAAATCTCTTCCTCATTTTCTCTCGCATTCTTTGGGATACTGATCGATTGCTTAGGATCAGAGATATTTAAATGATTTTTGGTTAATCTTTTCTTTCTATTCCTGCGTGATCATACTTAATCTTCATATCAATCCATGGAATTATAAGCTGTGCACTTTCAATTGTTTGCTTGTTTGTTTCTCACCTATTCTCTTGCACTGTTTGCTGACATTCTTTATCCATGTATTTGCTTGTATGGACAGGTGACTGGGTACATGGGAGATGACCAGCTAAAACAGGCTCTGGAGGGATCTGATGTTGTCATCATTCCAGCTGGTGTTCCCAGGAAGCCTGGCATGACCCGAGATGACCTTTTCAACATTAACGCTGGCATAGTCAAATCTCTCTGCACCGCCATCGGCAAGTATTGCCCAAATGTGAGCCTGCCTTTCTTTGCATCTATAGATTTTCAATTATGGAATTTACCCATGACTTAATGACTGAATGTTTCATTCAGGCACTAGTCACTATGATTAGCAACCCTGTGAACTCCACTGTCCCAATTGCAGCTGAGGTCCTCAAGGGACTAGGAGTATATGATGAGAAGAAGTTGTTGGGCGTGACCACACTTGATGTGGTTAGGGCCAAGACATTCTATGCTGGCAAGGCCAAAGCCAATGTGGCAGGTACGCGTGCATTTTATGAACTTATAGAGTAGCGCTTGCTAGTTTGTAACATTGTTTTGCATTGTTGAAAATATAGATCATTGCCTATATTTTTTTCTCTTCGTTGCAGATGTCAATGTACCTGTTGTTGGTGGTCATGCAGGCATAACAATTCTTCCATTATTTTCACAGGTACTCCCTTTGCGTTGATTTTCCCATTTTTGCTTATTGTACTATACTTGGAGAAATGTTGGAAATTATGAGTGTATGCCTCATATTGACTGACACTTGTGTTTCGACATTTGATATTAGGCCACACCAAAAGCCAATTTATCTGATGAAGACATTAAAGCTCTCATGAAACGAACACAAGATGGTGGAACGGAAGTTGTCGAAGCTAAGGCAGGAAAGGGATCAGCTACACTCTCAATGGCGTAAGAGCTGTGCTTTCACGTTTCCCCTTAACTTTTCCTACTTTCTAACCAACATTTTCCAAAACTTCACTTTCAAATAGTTACTTCCACACAAGATCTAAATGCTGTATGTTCTATATCTAGATGACTTTGGCTTCAATATCACATCTTTATATTTGGTTGCTGTTTGTCAATTTCAAATAACCACTCATAAAAGCCTTTAAGTTCCACATCTCCTATTGTCACATGACCAATAAAGGTACAGTCATTCTATTTAGGTGTAGGTCTGGGAGCTCTAGCGAATTGCAAATTGGTATATTCGTGCCAAACTTTGGTATATTAGCAATTTGATTATATAACTTAATACTCTACATTATCCTTTTAGGAAAAGGTATCGTAATGAGAAGGTGAATTTTGAAATAGAAATTTGTACATAGCATTTACTCCTTTTACTTCGCCAACAACAGCNCCACAATAAAAAATAAATCTAAAAATAAGCCTTGATTCGATGGATGTCCACATCAACTCTCTCAAGATGAGAAAAACTTGACCCGTCGAGTAGATAACTCCGATGCTCTAGTCAATCTCTCAACCATAAACTAAGTGGTTGAACGAGCCTCTATCGATGCCTGTAAAAGCTGTAAATGGAGGTCTGAATTTGGTGTCCCCACCAACTTTCCCTGAGTGGGTGGAAGGAGATTTGGGCAAATGAAGATTGAGCTCCAATAAATTTGGGTCAAGCTGCTAGAGTGTCTCTCTGGGGATTCATGTACAGCTAGAATCAGGCCGATCAACTCAACGAACAAGGAAGCATTGAACCTCTCCATCATTAGTCAACACAATTTATTCATCTAATGTAGCATCAATTTTATCTGTGTGCGCTATAAGAGGTGATATTTGGTTAGAAGTGGCAAGAGAATCAGGATCAAGGTCCATAGATGGAGGTGAAAGAGGATCATTGGATGGATTGAAATGTCCTTTATAAGCAACTAAATCCTCAACATTGAAAGTAGAGTGGTATCCAAGGCGTTGTGGGGGTTCAACAACATATGCATTTGGACCAACTTTAAAATTTTAAAATAACCAGCACTCTGGACTTGCAATTTGAAGGCAGGTCTCGGGCTCTAGGTGGACGCTACTCTGGTCTAATTCGGATCATAACGTAAAATCAACTTGAAGTTTATATCATGCATTACTGACTTTAAGTTGTTTATTGATCTTGATATGCAAATTATGAAGATGTTGTGCAAATGCCTCAACTGATGCAGACACTTTAGCATGTGGGGACATGAGAATGAGATCTAAAGACTTTCTAGGCTTATACCCATGAACAACTTCAAATGGACTCATAACTAACGATCGATTCATAGAACTGTTATATGCAATTTGAGTTGTAGGAATAATCAAATCTCAATTTCCAAGATTTTCCTGGACCAAACATCTTAATAAATTATGAAGACTATGATTAACCACTTTCGTTCACCACCAGTTTGAGAGTGGCAAGAAGTAGAAAATTTCAATTTAGCACCAACCTTTTGTCACAATGCCTTCAAAAGTGATTAGTGAAATGAACATCCCGATTCGACACAATGGTTTTAGATTGACTATACAATTTAACAATTTCATTAAAGTACAAAGTGACAACCTTGGACGTATCTTAGGTCTTGCTACAATGGATAAAATTAGCCACTTTCGAGAAACGGTTGACTACCACCAAAATAGAATCATGCTTCTTCGGGGTGCGTGGAAGTCTCAACACAAAATCCATATTGAGATCTTGCTAAAGGCAATTACGGACGGGAAGACATATGTATAGCTTCTTTTGTTTGGCCAACTGATAAGTGTTACATGTACTAACTATTTTAGCAACATCTTTCTTCGAACTAGGCCAATAGAATTGACATTTAATTTCCTATATGTTCTTATCACATCCAAAGTGATCGGCTAAATCTCCTGCATGAATTTTCCACACTATGAAGTCCCGCACTGAAGTTCAAGGGATGCACAATTTATTAGCTCTAAAAAGGAAACATTCCACAAGGCGAAAACTATTCGCAATAACGACCGTCCACTTTGCAAATCAAGAAAGATATTCTTAAAATCGGGACATATTTCGTACTCTTTCTTAAGTCTTTCAAATCTTATGACCTTGATGTTCATGATCGATGAAAGGGAGATATGACGACTTAATGATGCCTTTGGGGTAGGAATAGGTAGTCCTTCGTTAGGATTGCCACCGTGTTGCTTATTTCATTGAGAAGTTAAATGATGCCAAAAAACGGTACTCAACTTATAATAAGGAATTATATGCAGTTGTACAGGCTCTACGCTATTGGTGCCATTATTTGCTGCCCAAAGAATTTGTTCTTTATTTGGACCATGACACCCTCCATCATCTCAACTCCCAGAAAAATTGAATTTTAGGTATGGTCGTTGGATTGAATATTTGTAGGTCTATTATTTTGTTTTGAAACATAAGAAGGGTGTGAAGAGCTAAGTGGCTGATGATTGTGATTTATGTTGGTTTATGGCTTTGGTTTTGTCAGCGGCAGCGGCGACTACTGGGAGGCAGTCCGACTATATATTGGGAGTGTGTTGATGGAAATGGTGGTAGCGAAATGCTGCATTTGGAGGGGCTGGATACACAGCAAAAAGAATGAACAAACGACCAAGCAAATGGAGGCGAAGCTCTAGCAGACTACCCTGGCCTTGGAGGATCGAACCCACGTATGTAGCAAAATACGGGGATGACTTGTGGCTGCCTCAGTCTTCGATCCTCCCATGAGCTGATTCGTTCGCCAAGTTCGCCCGCCTAAGCAAAGTCGAAGTAGATAGCATAGTAGCATACAGAGCCATGTGTCTCGATTGAAGCTGATGGAGTATCCGACGGTGACAAATGCAGCAAGCGGTGGTCTTGGGTTGTTGATGTTGAGGATGGCGGAATGGTGGTGGCGACACAGTGTGACGATGGGGAGTGGAGTATGGTTTGAAGGTGAAGAAGTTGGCTATGGGCCGAGTTGTGGAGATATAGGTTTATGGGATATTTGTTTTAACGTGACTGGGGTTATGTGCCGGGTTGTGCTTGCTGGGCTAGGGGTGGGTTGGTAATTGGCTTAGTATTTTAATGATGGAATTGTATGTAGTTGTACAGACTTTACGCTATTGGCACCATTATTTGCTGCCCCAAGAGTTTGTTCTTTATTTAGACCATGATGCCCTCCATCTCAACTCCCATGAAAGATTGAATTCTAGATATGTAGTCACTGAATTGAATATTTATAGGCTTATTCTTTTGTTTTGAAACATAAGAAGGGCGTGAAGAGCTAAGCGGCTGATGATTGTGATTTATGTTGGTTTATGGCTTTGGTTTTGTTGGTGGCACCGCTAGACTACCTTCCGCCTTTTCTCGGTCGCGTCGGGACGAAAGAAAATTTGATTGCAATTTTGTAGAAAGCTTACAATTGAGAATTTGAATACATTGAAAGTAAATTGAACATTGATTGCTGAAAACTGAACATTACAATTGATGAAAGCAGAAAATTACAAATGCTGGTGCAGGGGGCGGACACCAGTGAGCTTGAAAGATTTTTGAATGACTAATACCCCCTATAATAGCATTCTGAACAAAAACCCAAGTGACGGGAGTAGACGTTTAAAAGACGAGGAATCAGACTAATCTTTTACCAATATCAGAGCTATTTTACAATTAAAATAACTATTACAATGAAACGAAAATTACAACTCAAACTTGAAGTAATATTTACAATGTGCGGCCGAAGTTGGGCAAACTGCGACTGCGATAGTGTCAAGGGGCTAAGTAAAGCTGCGGTCCTTGACACGGTGTGACGATGGGGAGTGGAGTATGGTTTGAAGGTGAAGAAGTTGGGTATGGGCCGGGTTGTGGAGAGATAGGTTTATGGGATATTTGGTTTAAGGTGAGTGGGTTATGTGCTGGTTGTGCTTGTTGGGTTAGGCGTGGGTTGGTAATTTGCTTTAATGATTTATTGATGGGCTTTTGGACTAATGGGTAAATGGTTGAGTTATGGACCGGAAATAAGGGATTGATTTGAGCTATCGAGCTGGTGTCGTCTTATAGGAACCTTAGGGTCTTATTTGTTTGGGTCAACAGTAACACAAAGAACCTTAAGAACACCAAATTCTTCTTGACAACAAAAAGCAGTAAAGACAGTAAACTCTCTCTCTCTGGGTCGCTGCCAATTTGTTTGTGTTGTTCCAAGGATTTTTGTGTATAAGTGATTTAGGTTTTGGATGGGTTGTGGGAGATGGCGGTGTATGTTCGGATTATGTGGAAACAGTTGATTGGGATGACTTTTGAATATGAGAATATATAGGTTAAAGGAGAACGAATGACTCTGATACCAAATTTAATACAGCACCAACAGAAGCACCCAATGGAGAATGAGAAAACAATTCAGCACAGAAGAGATCAGATGCAGAGATAGCAGAAGAAGAAAACAGTAGAAGGAGAAAAACCACAATTCATTAATTCATTCATCACCAAGTTTTAATTCACTTTTCAAGACGTATATGGAGGAAAATAAACAACCCTAAAATGAAATGGGCTTGGGCCAACCCATAATACAAGCCCAATAATAGAAACATAAATAAGAGTTCACAATAGAAAATAAATCTCGATCCGATGGATGTCCACATCAGAGAATGGTAGGTTTCACTTGGAATCTCGTGGCAAGTTTCCTGTTTCATGTTGCATGTATGACCCTTCAGTTGAAACGAATTTTGGAAAAAAAGGCAGTAAGTTTCATGATGCAATGAGAAGCCACTTCATGCACGCTGCTACTTGACCATGAGTATGATCATTTCTTTAACTTCATGAGGAATCTTAGCTTATGATGATTATTGAAAATTACAACAAATTTTCCAAAAGTAAAATTATTGTCCCTGAGGATGTTCAACACCCTCTACCCTTTTATTTTTACTGCTCTCTTGCCTCTCCTCTGAAAGGCTGCTAGTTCCCGATTTTGTTCTTTTGCGATCGGCAACTAATTTCAGCGTCGTGTGCAATACCAGGTGAAACTTGGGAAGAATGGTGTGGAGGAAGTCTTAGGTTTGGGTCTGCTTTCTGACTTCGAGCAGCAAGGCCTGGAAGCTCTCAAGCCGGAGCTGAAATCCTCCATTGAAAAGGGAATCAAGTTTGCACAACAGAGTTAAAATGGCTTCCATGGCATTTTGCATTTTTTGTTCCCCATGTAGGAGTTTCGATAAAGCGTTTCATGCTGTCATAGAGATGAATTCTATGGCGAAATGGGTTAAGGGTACATTATTTAAATAATACCGACTAAATAATCAAGTTGTTCAGCTGTGAACTACGTTTGCTTGGTTATGAGCGTTGCTTAATGTGTATGTTATTCACCCTTAATTAAGAGACGAAAATTCCATCTTGAGTTGGTTAATTCAAGCTTTTAATTGATAGCCCCACTTCTTTCCAGAATTTTCAAGGGATACTGTAGTACAATATGGCTTTCTTTTGTATTTTACATTTTATGGAGAAAGAAGGGGAGATTCAAAGAATCAAAACACACAATGTACCCTCTCCCCTAGTCAGGAAGGAGAGGTAATCTATTAACAGTAAAGGGAGCTCCATTTGTTTCAGCATTTGTCCTGTATAATTCATCGATTTCAGCAGCATCGTCAATGCCACTTGTGTCACTGTCTTCATTTTCCGTACTCGGAAAAGGAAGAATACGAAGCCGCATATCCGGCTCACAACCAACTCTTTCTGATTTAAGCTTGTATTTACGTATAAGATCCTTCTGAAGCAACAAAATGTTGGAAGACCGGTGAAGTAAATCTACAGGTTCTCCTTTTGGAATCACAATTCGCTCAATGGCTATTCTTGCCTCCTGTGAAAAGGAAAAGGAACGAAAAACAAAACAATACCAAAAAAACTCGTGAAGTTATGAGCAATTTAAAACCAAAGTTATTATCGTGTTAACAGAAATGGATCTAATCTTTTTATCCTACCAACTCCTTTTTCATTAGCATTTTTTCTCTAGCAGAAGTTTAGATGGTGAAGCATGGGCAATAGTCAGATAAACAGAATGTTCAAGAAAGGATAACTGTCTAAGCTTGTTGATAAGATTGAGCTAGCGAGCTAGACGGGATGAGAACATTAGAAACTAAAAAGGAGGAATCAAATAGAGCTGAGTACTGATCAAGAGAACTACTATCCACAAGCAGTTGGGAAGCAACCACTATAGGAATTGATCAAGATGCAATCCAAACCAGCCTAAGCTGTTGACCAACAATAGTACCGAGCAATCGACTGAGAAGAGAATTAGTCAGCATTTATCTTTTAAAAGGCCTTACTTTTAGCAATGGGGTTGATGGGAGCTGATAAGGGGTGGTGAGTTGTGGGGTGGGCGGGGGGAGGGTGATGCAAAGGAAACGGTGAAGGGTGGAAGGGAAGGAACACGATAATGGAAAGGGTAACTTAGGATTTTAAAAGTGACGTAGCGTCACTTCCAAGAACTTTGGAAAGATGACGCCTTTTTTCATTATGTGCCTCCACTTAAAGGCCCTTTTGCCAAAGTCCTACGAGGCAAGGATACTTTTAGGTCGTTTACTCAGCACAACTCAAGTATAGCATTCTGCAGTTAAGAAAAATGAAGGCAACCAACAGGCTGAAACGGAGCAGAGTAATGATTCCTTGAGCAACTTGTTTCTTTACTCCAAAATAAAATAGAGGAAATTGCCCAAAATGTTCACTTCTCCCGATGCATTTTGAAATATGTCCACTTTTGCTTTTCAAAATAATTAGTGATATTACCCTAACAATTTTTTAAATTACAATTTTGTATTGCCATTTTGAAAGTAATTTGACAACTCTATACTCTATAGACATGCCTTTACATCCCCCAATTAAAATAAAATAAAATTTCAGAGCCAATAAAGTTCCTTCCTCCTCAAATTACTCACTCTACCCAAGAATAAAATCTCACCTCACATCACAGTACGGATGTCATCAAGTTGAGTCGAGTGACTTGCAATGCTCGAGCTCGGCTTGAGTAAAATTAAGACAAGCTTTTTTTGGCCAGAGCCGAGCTGGCTATTCTTTTTATTATTATTAAAACTGCACTACCTTTAAAAAGGCACTCTACTGCCTTTCTTTTTTCGAGCCAGCTCGGCCCAAGCCTCAAGCCTGCCTAGCTCAGGCTTTTTTCAGGCTGAGCCACGAGCAGTCCGAGTTGGCTAACCAAATTACCGTTCCTACATCACAGGGTCATCCTTAAAAGTCTCTTAAAATCTTAGTCCCAATATTTCTTGGTAAACATCTCCAGCATTTTTTTTTCTCCGCTACTGCCTATTGTGATAATGGCATGTGTGGGTAGGTTGCTTCTTTCAGAAGCTACTCCTTTTATTCCAAAAGTTGTGCAAGTTTTAAAGCCCGTTTGGTACGGATTAAAATCTGTTTTTAATCTAAATTAAAGTCAAACAATTAATATTAACTATATCTTTCATCAATTCCACAACTTTTCAACCACACATTTTAAAAATTTCTCTCACAATTTATTAAAAACTCTAATTTTAATCCCCACCAAACACCCTCTTAATAACATATTGCATTGGACACAAGAATTTAAAGGGTACAATTGATGATTTCTATCAAAAATGGCTATTCTAACAAAAGTTAAAAAGGGGGGGGGGGGGGGGGGGAGTTTAAA